AGTGGAAGGAACCCTGGATTGGGCTGGGAGTCAGGAGACCAGGCTTTGAACCCCAGCTCTACTGACCACCAAGTGCATGACCTTGGACGAGTCGTTTGACTGCTCCCAAGCCTGTGTCTTCCTCTGCAACCTGGGAAAGCTGAGAATACTGAGGATCTCTGGTTGTGGTGATTACAAGTTTAAAATGCAAAAGAAAAAAAATATATATATATAAATAAAATGCATGTGAAGCACTTGGTATTTGGTAAGTGCTCAGTAAACATTTGCTAATATGATTGTTACTTGCTGCAGGAAGTCTGGCCTAGAATCCCAGCTCTCTCCATTAGACCAGGAAACTTTCCGTGTGATTGATCCTGAGCAAGTTATTTGCTGTCTGGGCTTCAGTTTTTTCCTCTGTAAAACAGGAAAATAGTAACTACACTACCTGGCTCAGGAAAAGAGAGTTCAAGGATCGTCTAAGAACCAGGTAGGGGATTCCCTGGTGGCCCGATGGTTAGGACTGCATGCTTCCACTGCAGGGTGCCTGGGTTAGATCCCAAAAGCTGTGCAGTGCTGCCAAAAAAAAAAGTACAGAGGTTAGAGCCAGACTGCCTGATTTTCAATCCCAGTTCCACCCTTACTTCTATTCCTGTATTGTCCTGTGCCTGTTTTCTCATATCTAAAATGGAAATAATGATGGCAACTACTTCATAGAGTAGTTGTGATGATAAATAAATATAGGTAAAGTGCTTAATACAATCACTGGCACTGAGTTTCTCAAGCATTATGAAGTACTAGCCGTACTTCATCAGTTCAGTTCAGTTGCTCAGTCATGTCTGACTCTTTCACACTCCATGAACTTTGGAGCACGCCAGCCTCCCTGTCCTTCACCATCTCCTGGAGCTTGCTCAAACTCATGCTCATTGAGTCAGTGATGCCATCCAACCATCTCATCCTCTGTCATCCCCTTCTCCTCCTGCCTTCAGTCTTTCCCAGCATCAGGGTCTTTTCCAATGAGTCAGTTCTTCTCATCAGGTGACAAAAGTATTGGAGCTTCAGCTTCAGCATCCAGTCCTTCCAATGAATATTCAGGGTTGATTTCCTTTAGGATTGACAGGTTTGATCTCCTTGCAGTCCAAGGGACTCTCAAGAGTCATCTCCAACACCACAGTTCAAAAGCATCAATTCTTTGGTGCTCAGCCTTCTTTATGGTCCAACTCTCACATCCATACATGGCTACTGGGAAAACCATTGCTTTGACTATACAGACCTTTGTTGGCAAAGTAATGTCTCTGCTCTTTAAAACGCTGTCTAGGTTTGTCATAGCTTTGTCATACCTCACATGGTACCTAAATTGCTTGGGGCTTTGGAATCAGAGAGACCTGCACCTATATGCCAGTTCTATCCTCTAGGCTGTATGACCTCGGACAAGTCACTTTCCCTCTCAGAGCTTCAGCTTCCTCCTCTCTACAATGGAACACTAGAACAAGCCCAGCTTCTTTAAGGTACTGTGATGCAGCAAAGCAGACGCACACTGCCTGTCTTGAGTTAGATGCACATGCAAAGTGCTTTCCCTCTTCTTTTCCTCTTGGCTCCTCTCCTCAGCATTTTTCTCAATGGTCTACTTGAATGTCCTGACCCAGAACCCCATCACTGCTCCTAGAAATCGTCCCATCAAAGCTGAGGCCATAACTACACACTGCATGTTCTGGTGCGAAGAACTCTCGATTAGTAGTCAGAAAACCAGGTTGGCTTCTTTGTCTTTGCAATGGAAGAATTCTGATATGTTGTTTCAAGGAGTCTGTTAGGAAAATTAAAGTGGAGGAAGTCTTGTTCAGGCTTCAGAAGTTAGAGAGCAGGCCTCTGACCTGCTTCTGACCTGCCTGGACCCTGCTCAGATTCCTTGCCTGCCTGAAAGCACAGCAGGTCAGGCGGGACTTAAGATAAGAAAAGGAGTGGGTCTGTCAATTGAGCCCCTGGAGGTCTGGCCAATCACCCTGGGGTCTAACAAAATCCTATGACTCAAAAGGTGAAACAAACAGCATTGTAAAAAAGGTTAAAGTAAAACCAGAGTTGCATTTTTCCACGCAAATGGATGATGCTATCAGTTTGCAGCCTGGGATTATAAGGGAGAACCCCTGAAACTGCAGTTTGAAGTCTCTCCCAGGGGGTGGATGCACCACCTTTTTCCAACTGTGACTCCAGATTGCTATTAATGAGGGACTTGCCAGCACTAAGTCTGGAAGTTGGTTGGCCCAATTTGTTGATGAACATGCTGTTATTCTATTGTTTCTATTTCTTTTAATGACTGGATGCTGAAATTAAGTCAAATAGTCTTTTATAAAATATTGATATTACTTATTGTGTGTGGCAAGTAGTTTCTTTTGTTAATGAATACTTTGAACCTAAAACGATAGTAACACTTTTGGCTAAACAGAGTCATGACCTCGCTTTCCTTCGGGTCTTGAGCTCCATAAGGAAGCTATTACTTTCTGTATCATGACATTCTGTAATCTTGTTATCTGGTGGCAAAGGCCAAGGTTAGGATGAAGACTTAGTCCAGCTGGGGATGAGAATGGACGGCGTCCTCCTGAGTCCTCCAACATCCTTGAGGGAGGTGACTTGTTTGGAGGCAAGATACATCCTACTCACATGTGATGGGGTGGGGGGAGGGTTGGCGGTGGCTTTGCAGGGCTGAGGAATCAGGTCCACGTTGGAAAACTGCCTAATGGGTACAAAACCAACCTGCTGCCATGCCCATGTTTACCCAGCTCTCCAGGGCTGCTCTAGGAGCCTGGTCCTGCTGAATGGGGATGAGAGGGAATGAGGGGGCATAGCCAATCCAGAGACCTCATGCTCTATTCCCCTTAACAAAACCTGTTCCTAGGAAAGAACCAGGGAAACGCCCTCACACTCGGGTAACAGATCGTAACAGCTCAAAGCACCCTGTCTTTTTAAACTTTATGCAGGAGTTTTTTAAAATTTCCTCCCCCTCCCCATCCCCCTGGCAAATTTGTATTTTTCAATTGACGAAAGCAACTTATGCAACACAAGTTGCGCTGGGGCAAACCCCGGCGGCAGGTTTCCGCGCAAAATGCTAAAAAGGCTTGAACAGAGGGTATTGCCAAAAGTGGCATTTCGGGCATCAGAAAGGCAATCATACCTTTCTGAAAGGTGGCAGACCTTTAAGTACATCTACACCATCTACACTGAACAGAATATGGAGAACGTCTTCACTTCCGGCTCCACTATATAACAAATATGTGTACAAAGCTCAGCAAGGGCTGGGCATTGACTCCTCTCCGTTTCTCCAACTCCAGTAATTGGGGCTTGTATCCCAAGTCCCTCTACTTGACGTGAGGTTGGACCGGCCACCTCCCATTTCGGGGCCTCAGTTTCCCCATCTGTAAAACAAGGATTATATGCTTCTCTCTTCCCAGGACACGTCAGACCTAATCGGGAAGGATCTGACTGGGTTCGATGAAAAGCGTAAAGTAACGCTTAAAAGGCAGGCGAAAAGACCGATAACACTTATTTCTCTCTCACCAACCAAACACTCCGTTTCACGTTTTTCTCAGCTGTTCCGGGAAGGGCGTGGCCAGGCCACCGGGAGCCACGCCTCCGGAAGTGGGGCCACACTCAGCCGCGCCCCGGCTTGCGGCCCAGGGAAGGGACCAGCAGTGACGTCACATAGCCACTCCTCTGTGTTCCTCCGCCCTGAGATAAAGTAGCCCCTAACCATAGAGGATTCTGCCACTGATACTAAGTGACATATAAAATCTCAGATTATCTTACGACTCTATTTTGATTTTCAGGCCTCAGGGCCACCTTCCAGCACATTGGAAGCCTGTCTTTCTCCGGACCGGCGTAAGAAGTAGTCCCGGCCACGGTGAGGCCGATGGGTCCCTCCGCCGCGGGGGGAAAGAGGATGGCGACCTCGTCGATGCCGGAGTCGGAGAGGAACACCGCTACGAAAGCGTCAGGTGAGCTTCGGGGAGAGTCAGATCACCAGACCGCACCCTGCCAGGAAGTAGGGCCACACTGCGGGGAGACCCGGCGGAGAGGTCCCGGGCCGGCGGGGCTGTCCGAACAGGGCCCCGGGGTCCCAGGCCCTTTAGTCGCTCTCGCACTTGCCTGAGCGGAAACCCGGCGCCGCCACAAGATGGCGTCGGGCCTGGAGCGCAGGCAGCGCCGGGGACAGCCCCGAGTCGCCAGGCCCCGGGACCGTCTCTGTCAGCCCCCTCCGCACGGGCGCCAGGGGAGGGGGGAGCAAGCCGCTGACCCAGGGGGGCCTGCGGGCGGTACCACCGACCCTCCACCCGGGGGGACTCGGGGGGCCCGAGGGCTGAACCACTGAGGCCACACGGGGCCCATAGAGGGAACAACTCTGCGGGAATCATGGAGGGGAGGAGAGAAGGGTCAAGATTCCCCGCCACCGACCACCCTCCCGAGGATGAGGGAAGGGCCGAAGACTGGGAGGCAAGGCTTCCTGGTCCTGTTTTCCCGAAGCAACCCCTCGCCGTACCATAGAAAGCCCCGCCCCGTCGGCGACTTAGTGTTTGCCTCTGCGAAATGGGCACATGGGCGCAGCTGAGTGGGCTGCGGGGACCGGGAATGAGGCCCACCGGTTCCATCCCCGGTCACATCCTCTCACAGAGTGAAGGCCCCGGACCTTGGGCCCCCCTGTCAGGCAGCCCCCCGAGCCGATGGAGGAAAACGAGGTGGAGAGCAGTAGCGACGCGGCCCCTAGGCCTGGCCGGCCCGAGGAGCCCTCGGAGAGCGGGTTGGGTGTGGGCACCTCGGAAGCCGTGTCGGCCGACAGCAGCGACGCCGCGGCCGCCCCGGGGCCAGCGGAGGCCGACGATTCCGGCGTGGGGCAGAGCTCGGACCGCGGCAGCAGCTCGCTGGTATGGACCGCGCTTGGGTGGAGGCCGCGACCGCAGGCAGCAGTGCTTGGCACTCAGGGGGTAGCAGCCAGCAGGCTTGCTTGTAACTAATAATTGGTTTATGGTTAACTGTGACCCAGGCCCCATGCCAGGTCCCTAGCATGGGTTTTCTCATTTAAACCTCGTACCTTGTAAGGCACATACCACTCTTTCCACATCTTACAGAGAAGCAAACGGGCACAGAGTCAGGATTCAGATCTAGGCTGTGGGCTGCGCTCTCCACTGTTGCCCTGGTTCACATCTTGGCTCTTCTGCTGATTCACTGGGAGATCTCGTGGAGCCTCAGTCGTCTGTCTGTAAAATGGAGCAGAAATACCTACCCCTGAGGGTGCTGTGTTGTGAGCTGCCACCAGATGTTTTCTTGGAAACGCTTTATAAAATAGTCTTATGGCTCTGCCACCTCCTAGCTCTGTGGTCTTAGATAAGCTCCCCAGGCTTTAGCTGTTAGTTTTCTCATGTGTAAAGTGGGAATAATAAATGTCTGTGCCAGTAAGGTTGTTTTTTTTTTTTGAAGGTTAAATGAATATGTGCAAAGCAATTAACACGGGGCTCAACACGTGGTAAACAGTCAGTATATATCCAGACCCTCAGCATTGTCATTATTTGCTAGATAGTGATCGTTTTCAGGACATCACATCATAGAGGTACACAATAACAGCCTCCACTTTGCGGGTCCAGGGGTTTCATTGGTTCAGCAGAGATGGACTTAGCATGTGCCCAGCTAGTGCTCAACCCTGGAGTTACAGCAAGAGACAAGAGAGGTGTGGTTCTGGCCCTAATGGAATCTGACTTGGGAGCCATAATACTGCAGAGTGAACCATCAAGTGATGGGGGGGGGGGGGGGTGTGGTGACACAGGCAACTAAAATGCTGAGGATAGAGAGGTCCTAACTTGGCCTTGGGGGTCAGGGTCAGCTTCCCAGGAGAGGTACCAGCTGCGTGTCTGAGTAGGAATTAGCCATGGTGTGATGCTACGAAGCGTTTCAGGCAGAGGGAACAGCTTATTTGACAGCATGGTGAAACCAGCTTCACCTGACTATTGTGTGGGGGCAGATGTGGGGCCTTATACCTGATCAGACCCAGGGACCCTGGGGCTTGTTTTTGGGGAGGCTCTGTGACTAGAGGGTTTCTCCCACCGGTCTTCTGTGTGGATGAGGGCGTTGGGTGGCTCCACTCACCATGTCCTTGGGCCCCTAAGGAGCCCCATCCCTATCTCCTAAGCTTCCTCTCTCCCTGTTTCCTGACCCCCAGGAGGAGGTATCTGAGAGCAGCTCCAGCACAGACCCGCTGCCCCATGGCTACCTCCCTGACTCATCTTCTGTTTCCCGTGGGCCAGTGGCAGGGGTGACGGGCGGCCCCCCAGCCCTGGTGCACTCCAGTGCACTGCCAGACCCCAACATGCTGGTGTCCGACTGCACGGCTTCTTCCTCGGACCTGGGCTCGGCCATTGACAAGATCATTGAGTCCACCATCGGGCCCGACCTCATCCGGAGTGAGTCAGACCATGGTGGGCAAGAGTTGCCCCTCAAGGGTTTCCCTACAGAACCAGCTGTGCAGACTCAGGCAGATAACCTTATCACTCTGAGTTTGTAATGTGAAAGCAGTAACCCCATCTCATAGTGCTAAATGACATGAGGAGTTATCTGACTTTGGGGCTTTCCTGGTGGCTTAGATGGTAGAGAGTCCTCCTGCAGTGCAGGAGACCCAGGTTTGATCCCTAGGTCAGGAATATCCTGTGGAGAAGGACATAGCTACCCACTCCAGTATTCTTGCCTGGAGAATCCCATGGACAGGGGAGCCTGGTGGGCTATAGTCCATGGGGTCGCAAAGGGTCAGACACAACTGAATGATTAAGCACAGGATACCTGACTTTGCACTGGAGTCTGTTCTAAACACTACCTGCAGTAGTAGGTCATTGATCATCTTGGTAACCCTAAAAGTACATGCTGTTATTGTTCTCACAGTCTAGATGAGGAAGCCGGGGCACAGAGGATGTAAACCAGCATAGCCGCTGTCATCAGCAAGTGTTGGGCCATAAGCTCAGTCTGACTCCAGAGTTGGTGCTCATGATTTGCCAGACTACTTTCTACTATCAGTGACCTGTGTAAGGGTCGTAGCACTTGGAAAGGCCCTGGGATGGTCTTGAAAGCCAGTCCTAAGAAAGTGGTGCAGCATCTGGGCCTTAACCTTGGAGAAGGTTGGAGAGGAAACCAGGGAGACCTTCCAGGTGTAGTGGTTAAAGGCGGACAGCTGTGGACTGGCTGCGGGGCCAGCATGTCACACATCCCAGACCTCCCAACAGCCCAGCCCTGGACGGGAGGTGGGTCACGGGGCAGCCGATTTCACAGTCGCATGGGTGAATCGGACTGAGTGTTGGCCTGATGGTTATCCTTATCAGCTGGGCATCCCCTCCTCCTTGTCTCTGCTTAGGCTGCATCACCGTGACCAGTGCGGAGGGCAGCGGGGCTGAGGCCACACGGTACCTGATCCTGCAGGGACCAGACGATGGTAAGGGCCCAGCACCAGGCCCAGGGAGCCCTGCCGTGTGTGGGGGCAGGACAGGTAGGCTCTGCCGCAGACTCACTGTGTGATCTTGGCAGGTTATCCGCTGCCCCTGGCCTCTCAGTTTCCCCATGGTTACTATGGTGGGGCGTGTGTTCTAGGACCCCTGGGCTTGCCTGGGAGGGGCAGCAGTAGCTCGTGGCCAGCCTCCCTCTCCACTTCCCTCTGATTCCCTCACCACCCGCACCTCTCCAGGTGCCCCCATGGCATCACCGATGTCCAGTTCCACCCTGGCCCATAGCCTGGCAGCCATCGAGGCCCTGGCTGATGGCCCCACATCCACATCCACATGCCTGGAGCCACCGGAGGAAGCGCAGGGTGGGCCCAGCTCCCCGGCGCAGCCGCCCCTGGGTTCTGGCACCGAGGAGCCGGACTTGCAGAGCCTGGAGGCCATGATGGAGGTGGTGGTGGTGCAGCAGTTCAAGTGCAAGATGTGCCAGTACCGGAGCAGCACCAAGGCCACGCTGCTGCGCCACATGCGGGAGCGGCACTTCCGCCCAGGTGCGTTGATAGCGGCTGGCCTGCCCGCCTGCACACATGGGGTGCCAAGAGTCAGACTTGACATGCTCGTTGTACCCTGCTCCCCCACCCCCAGCAGCAGCAGCTGGTAAGAAGGGGCGTCCGCGCAAGTGGGGCAGCTTGGCCCAGCCCCAGGAAGAAGAGGGCCCAGAGGAGGAAGACGACGATGACATCATAGATGCTGGTGCCATTGATGACCTGGAGGGTAGGCTCCCAGACCTGCTGCCCCCCCACATCTGCATATACTGAGCTCCCTCTGGCCCACGTGAAGGGCCAGGAAAGAGGAATTGGCACAGGAGCAGCCAGGAGCGCCTCCAGCATAAGATAAGAGGAGTTGGGGCTTTGGGACCAGGAGCTTCATGTGCAGTCGTCCAGACTGTGCACTGAAAACCAGCACTGTGTCAAAGGGTCATGTCTGTTTGTCCAGCAGAAACAGAATGCAAGCCTTGTGTGTACTTTTTTAGTAGCTGTATTAAAAGTAAAAGGATGAATTTAAAGTCAATTATATATTTTATTTACCTATTATGTCTAAAATCTAACTTCAGTATGCAATCATTATAAAAAATTATTAACAAATTATTTTTACTTTTTTTCAGTCTAATTTTTGGAAATCTGAAGTGTATTTTATACTTAATTATGCCTCAGTTTAGACTAGGTACATTTTGAATGCTCAAGAGTCACATATGGTGAGCAGCTCCTTTAATGGGTAGCATAGTCATACTTTGTAGACTTGAATGACTAGACACTTTTTTCCTAAACAATGACTATAAAGTGTATTGAGGAAGGGGCACTTTTTTTCTGATTCACATTAAGGTACATATGAGCTAATGGTAGGTGTTAAGAATGGTCCAGAGAAAGGACTGCAGGACCTCAAAGACGAGTACTGGCAGTCAGCAAGGGGAACATCAGGAGGGCTTCCTGGAGGTGTCATCACTGGTGGGTTTGGAAGGAGGAGCAGGCAAGGAAGGGGAAGTGGGCCTCTTTCCAGGGAAGCTGGCAAGGGGTCAAAGCTGAAAGGTCAAGGCTGTGGCCCTCCTCCTCTTGCTATCCCCACAGAAGACAGCGACTATAACCCTGCAGATGACGAGCCCCGGGGCCGGCAGCTGCGGCCCCAGCGCCCCACTCCCAGTACCCTGAGACCCCGCAGGAGACCTGGCCGGCCCCGGAAGCTGCCTCGCCTGGAGACCTTGGATCTCCCAGATGGTGAGAGTGGAGCCCAGGGGTGCGGGTGGGGCTCGGGTGGCCTCATTCCCTGCTTGCTTCCATGGAGCCTGGGGATGGAGCGTGCCATGCAAAAGAGCAAGTCTCAGACCCACCAGGATGACCTGCCGGCCTCCTGGTGATGGGGAAAGCCCTCCCCTACCAAGCTCGAGGGTTAAGGTTCACCAGCTGTCCGATAAAGCTTTTTGGTGGGAAGCTGTCACAGCATGGAAGTTGGAGTATTTACAACTGAGCTAATTATTACTAAAACGAGAGTAAGTCTGAGGTCTGAGACGATGTCAGAGGAGCACAGACTTGGAGGGTGACAGGCTCGGGACAGGGAAGACCCCATGGACAGAATGCCAGCTCTGCCTCCTACCAGCTGGATCTGGAGCGAGTCGCTTTGCCTCTTGAATCTCCCCTTCCCTTATTGTGAATGCAGGTGATAGATAGTACCTGCCTCTTAGGGTTGTAGCTTAAATGGATATGCCAGGAATACAAGGTAGTGGTTTTTGTACATGAAGTTGTGTGTGTGGAGGAGTGGTTATATTTTTTTTTAGTGTTCTTTTTTTTTCTTTTTCATTTTTGGCTACACCTCATGGCATGTGAGACTTTAGTTACCCAACCAGGGATCAAACCCACACCCCCAGACCTGGAAGCACCATGTTTGAACATGTGGACCGCCAGGGAAGTCCCTAGTCTTCTTTGTAAAGTAATTTTTTACTGAGGTATATGTGCAGGAAAGCAATGGTGTGCTAACTGCACAGCTCAGTGAATTTTTTAAAGATTTTCTGTATGTATGTATTTTTGGCTGTGCTGAGTCTTTGTTGCTCCAAGGGTTTTTCTCCAGTTGCAGTGCACAGCCTTCTCATTGCGGTGGCTTCTCTTATTTTGGAGCACAGGCTCTAGGGCTCACGGTCTTCAGTACTTGCCGCATGCAGGCACAGTCATTGTGGCTCCTGGGCTCTAGAGCACAGGCTTAGTAGTTGTGGCGCACGGATTTAGTTGCTCCACACCATGTGGGATCTTCTGAGATCGAGGATCTAGCCTGTGTGCCTTGCATTGGCAGCCAGGTTCTTTCTCCAGCTCGGTGAATTTCTACAAGTGAATACACCTGAACATCCTGTCAGAAGCGAGATGTTACCCGCATTTCCCATAACATATTTTGAATTTTTCTAACATGTTTTGAATTTGTAAAACATTACAGTGAATACTGTTAGTGTCTTTGAATAGGCAATGGATTCGGACGTTTTGACGGCAGAGGCTTTGCAACTGTGTGCCGTGATGTCTCCTGCCTCTCTCCCACATGCTCTTCAGCCTCTCAGCCTCCCTTGGGAAAACCAGTGATTAAGTGTTGCTGTTGCTCCCCAGGCTTAGAATGTCTCTGTGAGGTCACTAAGAGCAACAGTTACCTCCCTTTGACAGCTGGGGGAAAAGGAGACTCAGAGAGGGGCGGGGCTTTGCCTGAGGACACACAGCAAGTGTGGCACTTGCTGGTGACTGAGTTCAGCCTACAGGCAGGTCTTCTGGCCAGGAGGCCCCAGCTCTCCCAGTGCTGCTCCAGACTCTCCCGTTTGAGGCGTGCAGTGCTGACAGCTACAGGAGGGCACGTGTGTCCACACTGCTGTCTAATCACAGCGGCCTGCATCTGTCCCACAACCTGCTGTGCCCATCAGTGGGCTGGGACAGTGTGTATGGGGGTGTATCTTGGCTGGCCTCTGGCACACCTGTCCACATCTGTCCTGGTGTGTCTGTGGCAGGTGTGGACGGAGAGCCTCTAGTGAGTTCACAAAGTGGACAGAGCCCTCTGGAGCCACAAGACCCCGAGGCACCCAGCTCCTCGGGGCGGGGACGCCTGGTGGCCCTGGGCAAGGCCAACCGGGCCCCCGTGGAACCCGGTGTGAGCCAGTCAGATGCGAGGAATTCGGCATCGTCCTACCAGGATGAGGCTGACGCCCTGCCCCGCCGCCGTGGTCGGCCCTCCAGGCGCTTCCTTGGCAAGAAATACCGCAAGTACGGGCGCCGAGATGAGAGCTGAGGGTGGGGGGTGGCAGCCCGGCCCCTCCAGACCTCCAACATCCTCCTGGCAGGTACTATTACAAGTCACCCAAACCGCTCCTGCGGCCCTTCCTCTGCCGCATCTGTGGCTCCCGCTTCCTGTCCCACGAGGACCTGCGCTTCCACGTCAACTCCCACGAGGCCGGCAACCCCCAGCTCTTTAAGTGCCTGCAGTGCAGCTACCGCTCCCGCCGCTGGTCCTCACTCAAGGTGTGACAGAGGGACCAGGAATGGAAGGGACGCTGGATGGGAGAAGACCCTGAAGGGGAGTGGAGGTGACGGGCACCTTCCTGCCTCGTCTCCAGGCCAAGGATGTCCTTTCACAGGCTACATCTTGCAGAGTCGCATCATGTCTTAGACTTGCCTAACCACCAGCACACCTGGCAGGTGGCCGGAAAACCGCTTTAATCTCCTTCACTGTGTTAGAAAGTCTCCAGCAGGTCCTTTTCATCATCTACCTAGAGGTGCCTGTGGGCCTGCAGCAGCCTGAGCCTGTCTTGTACCTTGTAGATGCTCTGATGTCATCCTCATGTAGCCCAATGAGGTCATAAGTGTCAAGAGTCCCATTTTTTAATTATTATTATTTTTATTTTTGGCTGCCCTGGGTCTTCGTTGCTTTGTGTAGGCCTTCTCTAGTTGTGGTGAGCGGGGTCTACTCTTCATTGTGGGGCCCAGGCTCTAGGCATCGAGCTTCATAGGTACAGCACACAGGCTTAGTTGCTCTAAGGCATGTAGAACCTTCCTGGGCCAGGCACTGAATCTGTGTCCCCTGCATTGGCAGGCAGATTCTTATTCCACTGTGCCACCAGGAGAGTCCAAGGGTCCCATTTTACTGACCCAGGAAGCTACAACTTGGCCAGAGTGAGGCAGCACTGGCCGTCGTGGGGGCTGGGGCCAGTGCTCCACCTCCAGCTCTGATGGCCCGAGTTCTGGGCTTTCTGCGTACACGGTGCTTCCTCCTTCAGACCGGGCCTAGAGGTTGTTCTCTGGACCCCGGCAGGAAGGGCGGGGAGCAGGGATTGTTCCGGGGTGCAGTGGGGAGGGACAACTCTAAGGCTCTAGGCACAGAGCTGGTGGGCAGGAAGGGAGGTTGTGCCCCAGTCCTGTCCTTTCTGCCTGTCTCCTAGGAGCACATGTTCAACCACGTGGGCAGTAAGCCCTACAAGTGTGACAAATGCAGCTACACCAGCGTCTACCGGAAGGATGTCATCAGGCATGCCGCCGTGCACAGCCGGGATCGGTCAGTAGGGCTGGGGAGGCAGAGACCCAGGGTGACCCCAGTTCCCACGTACTGAGCCCCTGCTCTGGGTTAGCCCCTTTGTAGCACACGACAGACATGGGAACGGCAGGATAATTCATCCCAGATCACTTGGCTCAGAGCAGGGCAGTGGGGGCCCCTAGAGGTCTCTTATTCAGTCTCTTTCCTGCTTCGAGCTTTGTAAATTGGGGACTGTCATTGTCGAGGTGGTTAAAGGAAATCTTGTACCTAAAGGGGCTCAGAAAAGGATCTAAAGCCAGTTATCTGTTACACCTGTTTCTTTCTTTCTCTTTGGCACAACTTGCAGGTTCTTAGTTTCCTGACCAGGGATTGAACCCAGGCCCCAGCAATGGAAATGTCGAGTCCTAACCATTGGACCATCAGGGGATTCCCTCTTATAGATTTTTCTTTCAAAATATAAATAAAAAAGGAGGAGGAGTCCTTTGTCCACATGAAGTTAGGGACACCAGGTTGAACAAGCACTTGGTTCAGCAGCTCTCCACCGCTGCATACTTTCTCAGTCTTTAAAACACAAATGTGTTTTGTGACACAGAATGGCTTGTTCCTAAAGCTAAGTGGCAGAACTTACCGCACACCTCTTCACATTTTCTCCAGTGAGCTCCAGTGAAGGAATCCCGTTCTCACAGAAGGGGGCTAGGATCAGGGCTGAGACCGGGTCTGGTCAATGGGAGAGGGTCTGGGGTGGGCTTGGGCCCGTGATGGTCTGACTCCTGCGTCTTTCTCCCCTAGGAAGAAGAGGCCAGACCCGGTGAGTCGGCGGCTCAGGCCTGGGAAGGGCCCCTGCCTGCAGGCTGCCCGTGGGGTGGAGGGGCGGGGGCGGGAGGCTCAGGCATGGGCTCACCCTCCCTGCTTGCCTTCTGTGTCCACCCGGCCCCTTCTGCCCCTTCCCAGACCCCAAAGCTGAGCTCCTTCCCCTGCCCCGTGTGTGGCCGTGTCTACCCCATGCAAAAGAGACTCACTCAGCACATGAAGACACATAGTACGGAGAAGCCCCACATGTGCGACAAGGTGGGTGAGGCTGAGTGCAGGGCTGGGGCGTGAGGGGGGCCTGCTGGGGGGTGGCTGTGTCATCTAACCCACCCTACCCCCTACAGTGTGGAAAGTCCTTTAAGAAGCGCTACACCTTCAAGATGCACCTGCTCACGCATATCCAGGCTGTCGCCAATCGCAGGTACCCCCCGGCAGAGCCCCTGGGGCTGCAGGGCCCCGCCGTGTCCCACTGCTGAGCTTTCCCTGCCCCGACTACCTCCAGGTTCAAGTGCGAGTTCTGCGAGTTTGTTTGCGAGGATAAGAAGGCGCTGCTCAACCACCAGCTGTCCCACGTCAGCGACAAGCCCTTCAAGTGTAGCTTTTGCCCCTATCGCACCTTCCGAGAGGACTTCCTGCTATCCCATGTGGCCGTCAAGCATACAGGTCCAGCCGGCCCCACCCCTCAACACAGCAGGGCCCTGTGGTGGAGGCTCGCCTCTGTCTTCTTAGCCACCCCCCATCCCCTACCCAACCCGGGACTGTCGCTCACCTGATCTCAGATCCCAGCTCAGCCAGCTCTTCTCTGTATGACCTGGGGTCAGTCTTTGCCCTCTCTGAGCCTTTCTTAGCTATGAAACGAGAGAATCCAAAGTACCAACGGTGTGGTGGTTATAAAACCATTTTTTCCCGTAGCCCTGCCCTCACCAGAGGAAGCCATAAAAGATGGACGGCAGAAATTGCCTCCTCTTCTTGGTGCCTGGCCCTCTGGCAGGCACATGAGGGAAGTCTACAGAAGGGGAGCCAGGGTGCCCTTAGCTGGATTCCCGGCTCCCTGTGGGGAGGCAAGTCAGGAGAGAGGTGTGTGGCCATGTGACCCTGAACCGGTCCCTCGGAGGAAGGCCGTGAGCGCGGAGGGAGCCCTGGCCGGTTTCTGCCCAGCCCACCGGCAAGGACAGAGCGTGCTTCCCCTGCGCTGGGGAGCGGGGTGCTGGGGGTCAGCCAGCTGGAGAGGCCCTTGGGTCACAGAAGGGTTCCCTGAGGGGGCGGGTGATTCCAAGGACGCCTCCGGCCGTGTCTGCAGGGGCCAAGCCCTTCGCCTGCGAGTACTGCCACTTCAGCACGCGGCACAAGAAGAACCTGCGGCTACACGTGCGGTGCCGGCACGCCAGCAGCTTCGAGGAGTGGGGGCGGCGCCACCCTGAGGAGCCCCCGTCCCGCCGCCGCCCCTTCTTCTCTCTGCAGCAGATTGAGGAGCTGAAGCAGCAGCACAGCACGGCCCCCACGCCCCCCGCCAGCTCCCCAGGACCTCCTGAGGTGAGCACAGGCAGCGGGGAGAGGGGTGGGGGAGGGGGCCGCGAGGCCGCGTGACACCGCCTCCCCCAGCCCCAGGGTCTCTGTCGGCACGTCGGATACAACGAAATGGACGGGGCTGAAGGATGGCTGAGGGCACAGAGGTGCCTTCCCTAAGCTCCGAGGAGGGCTGGGCTTTCCAGTGCTAGTAATAGAGAACGGAAGGATCAGTAGCCAGGTCGTGGTGATAGTTTGTTATTCTCTCACACAAAAGGAGTCCAAAGGGGAGCAACCCAGGGCTGATGTGGCAGTTCCCTGGTCAGTCATCAAGGACCAGCCTCTCTCGGTATATCTTCCTACGAATATGATTCCCATTTTTGTGGTTGCCTCATTGTCCAGTATAGCTGCAGGAGCTCCAGCCTTCACCATCCCAGACAAGAAGCAGGAGGAAGGGATGGGGGAAGAGGAAAAAGGATGCCTGCCATCTATCCATTTTAGCTTCCTCATGAACTTTACCAGAAGCTCCTGCTTAGCCACACGGCCACACTTTATCCAGCTGCAAAGGAGGCTGAGAAATACAGTCTCTTGGCTGAGTTTGTTGCCTGCCTCCTCCTTGCCCCTAAAGATGGACCAGCACGATGTGCTGGTAGAGCATAGAGGGGCTCTGGAGTCAGCCAGCCTCGTGTTCAAGCCCCAGTTCTCCTCCTTACCAGTCGGGATCTTTAACCTTAATCAGCTCATTGTAGCGTGGAGCTGGTAAATATCTTGAAGAGAGTAAAGATCAAACCAGCCAATAGATGTGAAGTGAAGCATCTGACACGTAGGAGGTGCTTGGGGAACACACTTGAATCTGAGCTGCCCCCTGTCACCCTTGGCCATATTCCTACCCCACAGATCCCCCCAGAGACTGCACCTTTCCAGTCCCCTGAGACCCCCCCACTGCTCTGTTCTGACACCCTGGGTGGCGCCACCATCATCTATCAGCCAGGTGAGTTCTGCGGGAGAGCGGGAGCAGGGACAGGGCTCATGCTGATGGGGGCTGGAAGCTGGTGGGGAGGGGGCTTGGGTGCCAGTTTTCCAGCCCTTTCTAAGGCTCAGGTTCCACCTGACCCAGGGACTGCGGAGTCGACAGCTATGGCCACGCAGACAGCCTTGGACCTGCTGCTGAACATGAGCACTCAGCGGGAACTGGGTGGCGCAGCCCTGCAGGTGAGCTCCTTCTCAGCCTGGCTTCACCCTGGGTGTCAGCTCTGCGCTGGACACTGGGAGCGGAGGCAAGTGGTGAAGGAGACATGTCCTGCCCTCAGGGAGCTCGCAGGTGTTGGAAGACAGATCCACTGGACCCCAGTGGGTGGGTGCAGGGGAGGGGGGCCGCTGTGCCAGGGAGGCCCCAGGAGACCAGGGAGGGCAGGTGGTCTCCCACTGCACACTCCGGAGTCACCAGCGACATCCAGTGCACTGAGCAGTAAGCACCACACTCTGCTCGGGTCTCTGAACAGGCTTCCCAGCCAGCCCAGCGCCCTCACTCCATGCCACCTTCCACAGGCCAAAGGCTCCCACAGCTTTCTCCAGCTCTAACTTCTCACGGGGTTCATGCACCTTAAACCCAGCATGTCCTCCCCCAAGTTCATCATCTTTACTTCTTGCTGCGCCCAGCTGCCTCCCCGCACTGCTCCATGCTTCTCTAAGGCAGGGAAACGTCTGTCAGCACCTCCTGTCTCAGCCTCCTGGAAGGATGGAAACTGTGTTTGAGATGATAAATTCTGAGAACTTGGAAGAGTAACATGCTGCCAGGGGGACAGAGCTCCATGGAGGAGGGAGCCTGTTTTGAACCTGGAAATCTTCATAGGGTTTAGTTTGTAGCATTTGGGGGTAGGGAGAAGTTTTAGATTTTTAGATAGTTCAATGTATCAAGCTTTTATAGTTTTTGCTTGTGGTATCATCCTTAGAAAAGCCTCTTCACCTCAAGATCATATAAACATTAATTGGTATTTTCTTCGTACAGTCTCATTTTTTACACTTAAATCTTTACTCCACCTGGGATTTATTTTTGGTATATGCGTAAAGGTAGGGGACTAACTTTATTTTTTCCCCAAAAGTTGTCCAGTACAGTAGATCGAATCCTCTAACTTCCCTAATCATTTGAAACATCCCCTTTATCATGCAGTAGATTTTCCTGTGTTTCTAGACAAGGTCTTTTCTTTTGATCTGTTTGCCATTCTCATGCCAGTATCATGCATTTTGCTTTGTTTTTCTGATTACAAAAACATATGCTTGTGAAACCCAAAATGAGTGTTAAGAAATGTTCTTTTCAGAGGGTGAAAATCTTTTAAGTTTCCTCCCCTCCCCTTCATTTCCACTGTTAACAGGTTAATAAGCATTTCTGCAGAGGTGTGTCCAGGTGCTCGGTAACACAGAGACCTTTGGATCTTTAAAAAGTGGGTCATGGCATCTGCGCTGTGGACAGCCTAGCTCTGCTTCCTCTGCAGCCTGGCCACACACGTGTGCACTTCTTACTGGCGTCTCCACCTCAGTCCGTCATAGGGGTGTTCTGAAGCTTATCTCGTCCGTCCTTTATGTGTGCATGCTTTCCAGTCTTTGAGGAACTTAAGGCAGTGCTTCTGTGAACATGTATTTTCAGGTGTTCATAAACATGTATTTTAGTTGTGGGGTTAAAAGAAGCCTCCTAGAAACAGAATCCGTGGGTCCCACCCCAAGCATGACTCCTTCTGAAATGATGTGTCGGGACTTCCCTGGTGGTCTGGTGGCTTAGACTCCTTGCTTCCATTGCACAGGGGCCAGGTTTGATCCCTGGTCAGGGACGTGCTGCAACTAAGATCTGGTGTCTGGTGCAGCCAAATAAATAAAAATTAAAAAACAAAAACATATGTCATTACATGACTGCCACTAGAGTGTGCTTCCCCACTGCCTCACCAGTGCTGCCCATCAGTCTTTATCAATCTCTTCCATGTCACAGACATGTATATCAGGGTCTTAACTGATAACTTTGTCATCACAAGAGAGATCGAGTTTCTGTATGTTCATAGACCACTTTATTTCTTCTCTCACTTACCTGCTTGTAAATTATTAATTCTTACCACTTTGCAAGGGCTGTTTGTATGTACGGGAACTCTACCTTTTATCTCTGATAGGCATTGTTAAATACCATCTCCCCCACCCCAAGTATCTTTGTTTGTTTTCTGGTCTCATTTTCTGATTCGTGTTGCTGTAAGTTTTAACATCTGTCATGATTAGGAAAATCTTCTCACCCCAAGGATTATAGAAATACCCATATTTTCTTCTAATCGATCTTGAGTTTTATTTCTTACGTTTCAGTCTTTAATCCATTTGAAGCAGACTTTGGAATAAGATGTGAGGTAGAGCTCTGAAGTTTATTTTTTCTTAATGGTTTGTCACTTGTTCTTCTACCTCAGGGTTTGTTAACCATGGCGCTTTGGGCTAGATAATTCCATGTTGAGGAGGCTGTCCTGGTCATCATGGGATGTTTAGCAGCATCTTTGGCTTCTACCAGCCAGGGGCCAATATCCACCCACCACCCCCGCCCAATTATGACAGTCAAAACTGTCTCTAGACATGACGCAATGCCCCAGGGAGCAAAACGCTCTATCTTGTCCTTGTTAAGGCTCTCCAGTGTCCCTAGGGGGCAGGAGTGCTCCATCCCATACTTGTTAAGTCTCTCTAGTGCCCCTAGGGGCAGTAACGCTCTGTTCTGTCCTTGTTAAGTCTGTCCGGTGACCCTAGGGGGCAGTAACGCTCTATTCCATCCTTGTTAAGTCTCTCTCCAGTTGCCAGGAGCACAAAACTGGGATTGTGTCCGTGAGTGGTGGCGGCACTGGGTCTGGCTGGAGCGTGGGCAAGCTTTGAGGCCCGGAGATAGAAAAGCGCCTTGAACGCCAGCTCCTGCCACCAACCCCACCTGTCATGCTGTTGCAGGTGGCCGTGGTGAAGTCAGAGGACATGGAAGCAGGGTTAGCGTCCTCAGAGGGGCAGCCCTCCCCAGCAGGCGCCACTCCCCAAGTGGTCACCCTCCACATGGCAGAGCCAGGAGGCAGTGTGGCCGCCGAGAGCCAGCTCGGCCCCCCTGACCTGCCGCAGATCACCCTGGCGCCTGGGCCGTTCGGCGGGGCTGGCTACAGCGTCATTACGGCCCCCACCGTGGAGGAGGGCACGTCGACTCCCGGCACGCCTTACAGGTGAGCCCTGCGGCCGTTTATAGGTGTGCTGAGGGGAGTGGGGGAGCACCCCGCCCACCCACGCCTAGTTCACAGGAGGTAAAACGATTGGGCTGTAAGGGAATGGTGCCCCTCTCGGGTCAAGGGCTACTTCAGAAATTGCAGGCACTTGATAGTCGTGGACTCAGCTAACTACTCCTGTGGGATGCGTGTTTCCCTCAGTTTACACGTGAGGAGGGAGTGCAGTAGTTCCCCGAAAGTCAGACGCGCTGTGGGTCTGAGCCTGGCCTATGGGCCACGTGCTCCTGGTTCTGGATCCCTGGGGTCTGGCCAGTTCTGACCTTCGTCACACGCTTGGGCTCCTCAGCGACATCAGAGGCCCCACCGCTGCACTTGGGTTCTTCTAGGCTGAGCGAGTCTAGGGCAGAAATGTTCGTTTTCCATGTTCACTGAATCCCTGGGCCATCGGAGGAAGCCCTGAATTCCAGTACCGGATGGTTCAGCCGGGATGGGAGCCAGGAGCCCTGCCTCCCCTGCTCACCCTCTTCTCCTGCCCCACTTGGTCAGACGGGTTTGATCCCTGGAGCCCTTCGTCTCATCACTGCATGCCCGTGAGGGGGTGGGGATGACCACTGCTGAGCTGGCTGGTACAGTGGACACTGGGTCCCTGCTTGTGAAAGAGGCAGCAGAGGTCCCGCTGGTAGAGGGAGGAGCCCGGGGCCAGTCTGTGGCGGCCGTGGCCCACCGTGCAAGGAGGGCTGTCCCAAGAAGGGGCTCCCGTGGCCCGCCATTCTCCGCTGGAACCCAGCTTCCCAGTCCTGGCATCTGTGCCCACAGCGAGGAGTCCCCGGGGGAGGCAGCCCAGGCCGTGGTCGTGGGTGACACCCTGAAAGAAGCTGGCACGCACTTCATCATGGCAGCCGACGGGACCCAACTGCACCACATTCCTCCGCTCCGCCCTTTCCCCTCATGCCCCGCCCCCTCTCCACAGCTGACTGCAGACGGCTCCATCTCCTTCCCAAGTACCGACGCCTTGGCTTCCGGCACCAAGTGGCCCCTCCTGCAGTACGGGGGGCTGCCCAGAGATGGCCCTGAGCCTCCGGCTCCAGCCAGGACCCACCGGCCAAGGGACCCTCAGGGCTCTGCCTCCCCACCTCCTGCAGCCAACAAACCCCTGGGCCTCGTAGTGCCCCCCTCGCCGCCATCTGCAGCTACTGCCTCATCAAAGAAGTTTTCCTGCAAGATCTGTGCCGAGGCCTTCACTGGCCGAGCAGAGATGGAGAGTCACAAACGGGCCCACGCCGGGCCGGGAGCCTTCAAGTGCCCTGACTGCCCCTTCAGCGCTCGCCAGTGGCCCGAGGTCCGGGTAGGTGCCCCATTCCTCTGCTGGCCCCGTCTGTGTAACAAAGCTTGACTGAGCACCCTCCAGGCCGGATCTTCCACTCCCCACTGGGCTGAGGTGACTCAGCAAGGCCCCAGCTCTCAGGGGCTGAGTCGGGGGGGAGACACACCAGGCGGGGACTAACACCTGACTGTCCCCAGGGTGAACTCAGCACACACACTCAGGGAATGAGTCACATGGACTTGGGGTGCTGGGGGAACTTCCTGGAGGTGATGGCTGAGCTGGGCCGGCAGGAGCAGAGGGGTGGTAATGTGAGGTGGCCGGGGAGACACGAGTTTTCCAGAAGACTGAGAGTTATCAATCCCAGGGAGGTTCCTGGGACTCCGTTCCCTAGAAGGACGAATTCTTAGATCTGACTGCCTGCTGAATTCTCACACAGCTCCATGAGGGGAGGGGGGCCCAGAACCCAGAGTGTTGGGGCTGGGAGCGACCTTCAGAGGCCCCTCTTTGAGCCCGTACATTTCACAGGGGTGACCTGAGGGTGAGCAGGGGCTGGGCTCTCTGAGCGGCCTCACGATGGAGCCAGCGGGGTCCCCCCCAGCGCCTGCAGAGCGGCAGGAGACCGTGGGCACCGGGCTGGTGCGCGGGGAGCCGCTGGCCCTGAGCAGCGCTGCCTCCACCCCGCCCGCAGGCCCACATGGCACAGCACTCGAGTCTGCGGCCCCACCAGTGCAGCCAGTGCAGCTTTGCCTCCAAGAACAAGAAGGACCTGCGGCGGCACATGCTGACCCACACCAACGAGAAGCCCTTCGAGTGCCAGCTCTGCGGGCAGCGGTGAGGCTGGGCGAGGCCCTCCGGGGCTGCCGGGCCTGCGGGGGGTGGGGGGCACCGCCCCTGAGCCAGCATCCTCCCCCCTCAGCTTCAACCGCAACGGGCACCTCAAGTTCCACATCCAACGGCTCCACAGCCCTGACGGGAGGAAGACGGCAGCCCCCCCTGCACGGGCTCCAGCCCGGCCCCCCACCCAGACCATCATCCTCAACAGTGATGACGAGACGCTGGCCACATTGCACAGTGAGCGGCACTCCAGGATGGACCCGGGCCTGGAGCCACTGCCCCAGCGCACACCCTCGGGCTGGGGTGGAGCCGGGCCATGTCATGTTGCCCTGCAACCTGAGCGACGTTCCCCCTCCTCTCTGCTCAGCTGCCTTCCAGTCTAGTCATGGGGTCCTGGGTCCCGAGCGGCTCCAACAGGCACTGGGTCAGGAACACATCTTCGTGGCCCAGGAACAGACAGTGAGCAGTCAGGTGAGAGCCTAAGTTTGGGGGCTCCACTGGCAGGCTGGGGACAGGGGTGAGGGCCCCTAGAAATCTGAAGCTAGAGCTGGCTTGGCCATGACAGGAGGAAGCCGCTTACATCCAAGAGATCACCACAGCAGATGGCCAGATGGTCCAGCACCTGGTGACATCTGATAACCAGGTGAGCTGCTGCTGCTGACCACCTGGGCCAGGGGTGCCCACCCTCCCCACCCCACGCCCTGCTCCCAGGAGGAGGGGAGACAACACTTTGCACAGTCCCTCTGGGGGTCCATCCTTGCAGTTGCCATTGCTGATTGGGGGGGGGGGGGGGCAGGTGTCCGTGGCCACCCTGCTCTGCCTTCCTCTTGGAGCTCCTGGGGGGCAGGCTGCCAGCACCTGCTTCTCCTCCCTTCTCAGGTACAGTACATCATTTCTCCGGACGGAGTGCAGCAGCTCCTTCCCCAGGAATATGTGGTGGTGCCCGAGGGCCATCACATCCAGGTAAGCCAGGCCTGGAAAAAGGCTGGGGGAGCGGGACAGAGGGGCCGACACCCCCTCCCAGGGTCACTACACAGGCTTCCTCTCTCCAGGTACAGGAGGGCCAGATCACACACATCCAGTATGAGCAAGGGGCCCCGTTCCTTCAGGAGTCCCAGGTAGAGCCCCTGGGGAGCCAGGGGAGCAGAGGCCTGGGCAGGGGCCCGTAGAGCCGTGTCTCATCGGCTTCTCTCCTCCAGATCCAGTATGTGCCTGTGTCCCCGGGCCAGCAGCTGGTCACCCAGGCCCAGCTTGAGGCTGCGGCACACTCGGCTGTCACAGGTATGGGGCTAGGCCTTGGGGGCCTGGGAGCCAGGCCTCGTTCCTGGGCCTTAGGTCACCGTCCTCTCCCCTCCCCGGTAGCGGTGGCCGACGCTGCCATGGCCCAAGCCCAGGGCCTCTTTGGCACGGAGGAGGCGGTGCCTGAACACATCCAACAGCTGCAGCACCAGGGCATCGAATACGACGTCATCACCCTGAGCGATGACTGAGCCCCAGGAGCCCAGCGCCAACTGTGGATGTTGATGGGGCCTGCCCTGCTGGGGGTGGAGGCCCACGGGGACTCCCTCCCTGCTGCACCTGGGATCTCCAGATACTGAGCAGCCAGCATCCTGTCACTCCTGGGGAGCCAGACCTGTGCTGCTGGGGTTGGGGGACAGCCATGGGCACCAGCCAGGACACGCTGGGGGCCCCAGCCTGCAGGCAGGCTTCGGGAGAGAAATTTATTTTTGTTGGTATGTACCCACTGGTCTCGGGCTCAATAAAAGGACCAGAGTCCAGCCTTGGTCCGCTCCCTTTGTCCATGTGCTGCTACAGCTAGAACCAGGCAAGGCCTTAGGAAGCAGGAAGAGGAGCTGTTAGAGCCCACGAGGGTGGGACTGAGGTGGGAGCTGCCGGCCTGAGGTGTACCCTGCCCTGCCTTTGTAAGTACAGTGGCCCAGGAGCGCAGACCCGCGGGGCAGCGGCCTGGCACCCAGAGAGACTGCTAGGCTGGGGAAAGCGGACAGCACCTTCGGATGCTGCATCCTCCCCAGCCCCAGGGGAGCACTGGCCCATGCCTCGAGGTCCTCGGTGCACAGCCAGGTACCTGCACCGAGGCCAAAGCTGCACTTCCTCCTGGCCCTCGACTGTAAAACACAGCCAGCTGCCCACGCTGGTGGCACCAGGCATCTAGGTTTCTACCTGCCCTCCACTCCCGAGGTGTCAGTGAAGCTGCTGCTGGCTGTGGGAGCTCGGGGCTTGCAAATGGTTGACGCTGGCCTCTGGACCCTTCACAGTTCCTGGGCACAAGCAGAGGCCACCAGGGACCAGTGGTGGGGACAGCAGGATGAGAATTTAGATACTGGAGCCCAGGGCTGAGTGTGCAGGCCCAGGGGTCATGAGAAGGTGCACCTGGACGTGCAGTGGAGGGCTGTGGTCCTGCGAGTGGCTTCAGCTTCCTCAGCCTGCTCTGCCCTCAAGACCCTCACACGTTCTCGGGGGGGGGGGGTTTCTGTATTTCCTTTTACAAATGAAACAAGGTGGCAACAGGATGGGGTGAAGGGAGGGAGGGAAGGACGGGGCCTATTTACAGGGGGCCTGGAGTGAGTGTGAGGTGGGGAGTTGGGGGGACGTGGGCAGGGAGGGGACACCCTGGCAGAGCCACGTCTTCCTATGTCATCGGCGGCGGCCCCAGGAGGCGGGTCCTGGGGTCCACCCCACCCCCAGAGCCCCAGCAGTCCACAGCAGCACCCAGGGGCTCCTCCTCCCCACAGGCTGTGTTAAGTGGAGTGCGGCTCTCGGCTTGGGCCCTGCTCCCGGCCTGAGTCCCGGTCCTTGGCCTCCGAGGATGCAGAGCCGCTGGAGCCGTGGCTGCGGCCAGACTGCCGGCAGGCAGCGCTCAGCTCCTGCAGCCGCTCGGGCGTGGGCCCCCACTTGGCGAAGCCGGGCTCGTTCTGCAGGAAGAGCACGGCCGTGTTGTGGACGGCCTTGTAGTGCATTTCCTCCCTGTGGGAAAGGCGGTGGCTCAAAGCAGGGCCTGGCCAGGTGAGCCCAGACGGGCTCTCCCGCCCGCCCGCCCGCCCAGCACCCACTTCTTGCAGACGTGCTGGGAGCCGCTGCGGTACTCGTGCTCGAAGGCAGGCAGAACCAGCTGGTGGCGCTTGAAGTGGCTCTGCTCCATGCGGGTGAGCGCTGGGGTTGGGGGTTCCCGCCACTCAGGGATGAACACGATGAAGGACAGGGGCTCTGGCGAGCTCTCAAGCAGTTTCTGTGGGAGGGCCCCCAGGGAGAATATCAGGGGCTTGCACTCCAGGCCACTGGTCCTCGGGCTTGCTGGCCAACCCCCCACACCGTCACACACCCACCTCGAAGTGAGAGACCATGGCGTCCATGAGCTCCTCGCAGAAGGGAGGGTTGGCCTCAAAAGAACCGCTTAGCGGGGAGAAGTCCAGGCAGGGCCTGGGGGCAGAGGCGAGCATGTAGGTCCCACCAGGACCCAGCCCCTCCACCAAGAACAGCTGCCACCCCCACCACAGGCAGCCCTTTGAAGAGAGGGCTCTGGTCAGGCCAAGGGTCACCCATGATTTGTACTGGGACAAGAGATGGCCAGCTCTGTTGAATGGCTGAGGACAGAGAGGCTCAGGCTTGGGGCCCAAGTCCATGGAGCTGGTTAGGGGAGGAGGTGGAGCCCAAACCCAGTGACCACCAGGCGGCCGGGCTCACCCTCCCGCTGGCCTGGCCGCCTCTGTGCCCACCCGCCACAACGCCCATCCGCTCACTGAGGGACCAGGTGCTCCGCCTCCCAACCCGGGATAGTCTACTGAGAGCCACCCGCTGGGTCGGGCTGGCATAGGTTCCCAGGCCTGCAGCAGCGTGTCCATGGCCACAGGCCTGGTTGGGGGGAGGCAGGGATGCCACCCGACACCACCCAGGCCCCTAGCTCTCCAGCATCCGGAAGCAGCTGACTCAGTGGGCTCTGTGCCCTGGAGGACGCTGCCCGGCAGGAGGCCCAGCAGCACGGGGTGCTCACCCGCGGGAGCCGAAGTAGCCGTCTGTGTCGGGGAAGGCGGAACAGTACTGGCGGAAGTAGCAGTTGAGGGGCGAGGCGAAACACTCAAAGCTGACGCCGAAGAGCCGGTGCAGGGCCTCGAAGACGTGTACCGGCAGGGAGCCCTGCAGGCCCGTACCCTCGTAGAGACCCACGCCGAACATCATCTGCGGGGCAGCTGGCTCAGCCTTGGGCCGCCTCCCCCCACTCCGGGTCAGCCCGCCCCCGGCCACCCCGGCCAGTACCTGGTACCGGCGGAGCAGACACCAGACCCGGGGCAGGAACCTCTCGAAGGCGGAGTCGTCGATACAGCTGTAGCGGTAAAGGAGCCACTGCGGGGCAGAAAGCAGTGGCTTCAGCCGCCGCCGCTGCCGCCGCCCCGCGGCCGGCTCCAGGCCCCGCCTCCCTCGCGGGCCGCCTGCCCGCCGGGGCTCTTACCAGCTTGCTGAAGTAGTTGCGGCTGACCTTGACCATCTCGCCCTTGTACCGGATGCAGACCACGCTGTTCTCCACATGCATCTCCACGCTAGGCACCGGGGGCGCGGGCACGGCCAGCCGCACCGGGTAGCAGTACACCAGGCGGGGCTCCACCTCGGGCGCCTCCACCTCCTCTGCGGGCAGGAGCGCGCGGGCTCACCCACGGACAGCCCCGGCCCGCCCAGGGCCAGGCGCTTCCCACGTGCGTCCCAGGGACCAGGGGAGGTAAGTCCCATCCCGGGGAGGAGCGAACTGCAGCTCAGGGAAGTGACGTGAACATAAAGTCGCTCAGTCGTGTCCGACTCTTTGCGACCCCACGGACTATACAGTCCATGGAATTCTCCAGGCCACAATACCAAAATGGGTCGCCTTTCCCTTCTCCAGGGGATCTTCCCAACCCAGGGATCGAACCCAGGTCTCCCGCATTGCAGCGGACTCTTTACCAGCTGAGCCACAAGGGAAGCCCAACCGTAGCTCAGACGGTTCGGTAACTAAGGAGACAGCTGGGCAACCGGCGGGAGCAAGCAGTGGGGGCCCACGCCAGCACGCTCTGAGCGGACTCAGGCCACTGTGCCTTGGGGCCTGGTGGGCAAGCTGTGGGCTTGCTGCCCGCCTGCTAACAGTCATGATAGCGTGCGCAGGGCTCTTCTGGGGCCCAGCACTTGGAGGTCCCCAAATCCTCACACGCTCATGTAGCTAGGTGTCACCCCTCAGTGAGGCTTGCAGAGCAACATAAGAGCAGGTCAGCCTAACTACCTCCCCATCTCTCTCTCACACCTCCAGCCCTCCCTCTCTCATCACTTCTGTTTCCTAGAGGGCGCGGAAACCCCCGAGCCGAAGGTCACACAGCAGGTCCCACTGCTCGGAGAAACGGGCCTCCCCGAGCCAGTCCGTGGCCTTGAAACTCAGCCTTACTTGTCCCTTCTGTACCACCTGGCGCCCTACCTGGGATGTTGTTTTCCTTGAGGATGGCAAGGTGCTTCTCTCGGATCCGTTTGACGTACTCAAGGGAGATGTGGTAGATTTTGCTGCAGATGCCTTCCACAGAGTCCTTGGCTGCGGCCGAGACATGGGGGCCACACTGCCTCCGCAGGTGTTCCAGGCGATCCTGGGGGAGAGAGACTCCTGGTCAGGCTCTGGGGGCTGGCGCGGGAGGGCTGTCAGATCCCAACTGTCCTCGTCCTGAAACAGGTTCTGCTACCTACTAGCTGTGTCACTTAGACAAATCCCTTGGCATCACTGAATCTTATTCCTCAACAGTTAAGGGAACACAAAATACTTACCTAACAAGGCAGTTTGAATATTAAATGCAGTCACTCCCATTAAGGATCTGCCAAGCCCTTGGTACACAGTTACGTATCTAACAAAAGCCAGCACTTACTGCCGGGGTTACACTAGGGCAAATCTCGATACTTGCTGGGGAAACAGACAAACCAGGCATAATCCCTGCTTACAAGGCATCTGCAGTCTATGCGGAGATAGGCTGCTGTAGAACAGAGGCTCTTTGGCCACTGCAGATTTGGATTTGAGCCTTCAGCGATTTGTAAGGTTAACTGTAGGCCTTTGTAATTATGCTGAATTGCACATGTCAAAGTGATGGGTGAAAATGAGTCACTCTTGCTAGTGAGGTCACCTACCTTTATCACTCTCTACGTGTCAAGTACACAGTTACTATCGTGAAGTGCGAAACCTTGTCTCTTGTGAAAAATGGTCCTGAAAAGAAAGCCCATTGCTAGTGCTGGTGGAGAGTTGAAGAGTGATGGGTTTAGGCCAGAAAACAGAATTGTTTTGGACTTGTTAAAGTGGGCGGTTGAATCTGGTGGTAGCCCTGAACTGCAGTAGGGCCACACACACCAAGCAAAGGCAGTCTGTCCATCTGTTTTCCAAAAATCTAAAGGGAGGTCCTTGAACATTCATTAAGTTGAAAAGGCAGCTACTTATGGTGTGTGGCCAAGCACAGGATTCTAGTAAGAACCGTAATGGAAGTGTTCTTTGGGAGAAAGCCAGGAGCTGAGAGGAACAGCTCCACAGACATGAGTTGGGGGACTGATGAGTGTCAAAGGTCGGCCAAATGCACAGGAGGCGGCTGCCGTGGGGGCCTGCCCGGCCTCGGCAGGCAGAGTGGGCTTCTCGGAGGCAGTGGCCTTCTGCCCAGGGCCACTCACCATGTAGTCCTCCTTGGAGGCGGAGTGGTCCTTCCGCAGCCAGCTGAAGGTGTCCTCTACGTTCCACTTGACCACCTTCCTGCTGTCAGGAGATGCGCTCCTGCCAGTTGAGGGCGCATAA